TTATAGGGGGGAAGGCGGACACTATGGTTAGGTGCTATAAGAAGAAAATCGGCATTAATTTCAAAAATTACAATGAAGAAAACGTCGCTAGAGCACTCGTAGATATTAGAGGAGGCAGAAAAAGTATAGACAAGTTGCTGAGTATATGGGGTTCCCAAATCCACCTTACATGACAAGAAAAAGGGAATAAAAACGAAGAATCATGGCGTTTGCATGCTTGCATTTTTTTTTACCTAAAATTTATACCTAATATTTTGCTATAAATATTATTATTTTTTTATTTTTTTCTGTCGGACTGCACCCCGTACTAGGGGCTAAGACACTTTGTTATGCTTAATTAATGGTCGTCCGCCTTTACCCCCACACATAGGGGTGATGGCGGACACACAACTTACCTAAAAAAAAAACGGGGGGGATACAAATGTCATTACTTTTAGTAAGTTAATTTGATAAAGGAGACATGGAAGATTCTTAATTATTTTTTTAGGATTTTTTTTTCTTTTAATTGTAGATTTTATTAACAAAAAACTGCAAAAATCGTCCGACTTCACCCCAAATGACGGTATAACTTTGCTTTGCCACACTTTTGTGACACACCCTGTATACTTGTAACTAACTTTATTGAAAACTTTCTGTTAATAGCTGCTTTTTTTCTAACACCTATCTTAGCTAACCTAAGTTGTTCTGATATAAATAACCGTTTTTTCTAACATCTTAGGTAAGTTTATGTCAGTCGAAATTGCCTCCCCCCTTGCCTACGCCAAGGATGTCGGCCTTAGTTCAATTTCATATCTGAGGATATGTTTATTTAAGGTTAGAATCCTTCGTCCATCTAATGTGTACGTTTGAACTACAACTTAGCTCAGCTAAGAATTCCAAAGTTAGCTAAGACAGTGGCAGAAAAAAAGCAGCTATTACCTGAGGTGTTTTCTCGCGTCTCAAATGTTTTAAAACGTTTTTCAAAACTGGTTTAAAACAGTGTCACATGACGTCATAACTTCTCGGCGCGAGAAAAAACTTGGATTGGATTGTATTTCGAAACGGTTTGAACCAATTTTGATATGACGTCATGGGTTCATCGCGAGAATATACTGTTTCAAACCATTGTCAAAAAAGTGAACGCGAGAAAACAGCTCTAAAACTTTCATGTTTGCGAATTTTGCAGTTATGAGTACTAGGCTTTAAACTAAATTTAAAAAAGTATGTAAGTACTTGAATAATAAAAGTACTAAGGTGGAAAAGAAATGAGCTTGAAATTTCCCTCCGGACCTCTCCCTAACTTTACCCCCCCCCCCCAGAAATGTAAAGTATCTACGCCCTTGCTTTAATAACTAACTCAACAATTAAACTCTTTACAATAATCACTATTTAAATCGTATCACAGTCGAACTGAAACTTAAAACTACAAAGCAATAGCGGCCTTTATATATCTCTAAATCTATTCCTGTAAAATCTATACCATTACAACTTCAAATTGAGACTTAAAACAATCAAATTGAGAACAATCAGTTTCAAATTGGTACAACATCCGTTTCCATATAATTGAATGTTGTACCAATTTGAAATTAATTGTTCTAAATTTGATTTTGTTTAATCTCAATTTGAAAATGTTTGTTCTCAATTTGATTGTGATAAGTCTCAATTTGAAGTTGTAAAGGTATAGAATACACACGATAATCTTATTTTTCCAATTGTAGTAGATTTTAGTAGATTATTATAGGCATCCGAATTTCTAGAGTATTCGACAGCGTAAGATTTTTGACAGCCTGGCACATACCACAATATTGTTGTACCTACCTTTTGCAAGAGGTTTTGGGGAGGATTTTGTCTTCATTTTAACCCCCCCCCCCTTGGGTGCGCCACTGTGTCTGAGGCCATTTAGGAAGAGTGGGAAAACGTTTCCCAATAATTTTTTAATAACCTTCTGGATAGTATGCCTTGAAGATGCCAGGCTGTGATCGATGCACGGGGTGGTCCTACAAGGCAAATTTTTGTTTTCTCAAATGTTACATACCTACATATTGTTGATATGTTAATCAATAAATTCTTTGATGTTGTTTAAAAATTTAATAGGCTATTACCTAATGGAAAACATCTTCTCCAATGGAGAAGCGTACGCCAATGCTGAATGAGAGAAAAAAAAATATGAAAGATGAATAGCAGTGTTGGCCAGCATCATAACATTTTGAAAAAAAACAAATTTTAAGTTATTAGCACTTCTCACCAAACCAAAAAATGCTCTTAGTGTAACGCCACTGGAATACACTCCTGTGGCCGAGTTCGTTTTTGTCATCTTTTTCGTCGATTTGCTCCGAAATTTTGACAGCCACGTGATTTGTAAACTGAAACTGTCTTATAGAGTCACATGCCTGTCAAAATTTCAGAGCAAATCGACGAAAAAGATGACAAAAACGAACTCGGCCTGTATCAAGAGTAGTAACTTGGATTTGTTCATTAAGCTTTTATAAATTCGGTTTAAATTACATAATGTCCAAGTAGCAATTTTTTTCTGCACGCCACTGGAGGCAATACTGAGTGATTCAATATATTCTTGAGCGCAAGAAATGCCACTTTATGCAACAGTTTGAGAAAAAGTACCCATTCTCAAAAGGAACCCCGAAAAAGTCCCTTTTTTAGGGATAAATGTAACCGCTTTTTAAAATTCGATTATTTGAGTTATAGCCAACTTTCGAAAAAGGACATGGCACAAATAACATGGGCAGTGGCCACCGACTAATTAGCTGAAATTTTAGTATGTTATAGAGGATGTCTTGCTGAACAATGTTTAAATGGAACACATTTTTCTATGGGCCATAGCCTTACTTTGCCACAAATCGCCTCTAGATTACATAGTATCCAAATGTTTGGACATACTAGGCCAAGGCCAAGTTAGCACCCGGATATATTCAGGATAAAAATGCTAGAGGAAATGTAGGATTTGAGGTTCATTTAATTGAACCAAACTTGATAAGACTACGAATATTTTCGCAACATGTTCAGGCACAACAGAATACTTCACTTATTTTGTTCAATGCAGAAATAAATGAACAAAACAGAGACCCTATCCTTTGCACTTACTGCACATGTAAGGTCGGTGCTAGAACATTGGGAGTATGTGCTCACATAGCATCGATTCTGTGGTATCTGGGATTCGTTGGACATGAGGAAGACGTTCACTATCCTCCAGTACAACTATTAACAACAGTACTTGATGCTGCTCGTCGTAACGATAATGAGGTGTAATAAATAAATGCATATTTGAGTGTTGATAAGTTCAATCAGGTAAATCAAGGTAATTCAGGTAAAACGTTCAAATGAAAAATGCCTATTTTTGCGGATTTCTAAACTTCAATTGCGATTTGTGGCCTTACTATGGTCCATAGAAAAATTTGTTCCATTTAAACATTGTTCAGCAAGACATCCTCTATAACATACTAAAATTTGTGCCACATCCTTTGAGAAATTACTTTTTTTAGGATAGTCCAAATATTTATTTTTTTATTTATTTATTTATTCATTTAAAGTAATATACGGGATGCCCCATTTATAACTATACATTTCAAAATAAAGATAACAATAATCATTATAACTAGATTAACAATAATAAATTATCTATGTCCAAACCAAATAATAGCACAATATCACAATTTGAACAGTAAAATATTGTTACGGTATCTACCAAGTGAGCCTCCAAAAGGATCAATCGCAGGGTGACCATTTAATAGAGCAAGACCACGGGCGAGAGGAGTATGACCCCCATAATTAGTTCTATAAACAGGTACATAAAAAACCTCACTTCTTCTAAGAGGTCGGCATGGTACTTTCAGAAAGACTTTACTGAGAAGATACGGACAGTCTATGAAACCGTTAATCAGTTTATAAATGAAGTACAAGTCGGAAAATGCTCTTCTGTTTTCAAGTAATGGAAGACAAAGATGAAGTTGGACATCTTCTAGTCTATCTGTCATATCAAGTTTATAGGCACAGTATTTCATAAACTTGTGTTGAACACTCTCAAGTTGGTCCTTATATAGATGTTATAAAATGGTGACCAAACAATAACTGAAGCATATTCTAAATGAGATCTTACAAGAGAGCAGTACAGTAAATGGAGTGAGTTCACAGATAAATCCCTACCAACTCTGAAAATGAAGCCCAACATCTGAAACGCTTTACCCACTATGTACTTGATGTGATCTCTAAAAGTGATTTCAGAATCGAAATATATCCCTAGGTCTTTGATTGAGTTTACGACATTCAACTCTTGATCCCCAATTTTCTACCTAGTTTCATGTTTTTTCTTGTACTTAAAAAAGCTTATAGAAGTGCACTTAGAAGCATTGAGGGATAGTCCATTAAGTTCTGACCATCTTGCAAATGATGTTAACGACTCTTGAAGTAATTTTGAGTCGTTATCTTCAATTCTATACAATTTGAGATTGTCAGCATAGAGCAAATAGGCACAGGTTCCCTGTACGTGTTCTCAAAGAGTTGGTCAAGAACCTCTCAAATACCGCAGCTCGATATCTCTTTCCGTTCCGAAAATATTGAGATTTGAATTTGGGTAAAATTTTCCAAAGCAACTGTCCACCAGTTTATTTGAAAGTTTGGGCTGTGAAGGATTTTTCTTTTCAAATGAAACACAAGTACAGTGACTCTATTACCCACAGTGGCGACAATTGTTGTCTTATTTTTGATTGGTTCTAAAATCCCATATATTTATATTGAAAACGCGACCATCTTGTTCCCACCTATTGCTTATGTCAAATATGAATATATGGGATTTGGGTGAACATCCATCATTAAACATGGAAAACAACATATTCGATGGACCTAATAATAGTAATCAAATACATTTATTTCAATTTTTCATGATAGATATCCATTTAAATCCTATATATTAATATTTAAAAGTAACAAGAGGTTGGGAACAAAATGGCGGTGAGACCTCTATTGTCGCCACTGTATCTAAAGGTTTATTTAGCCACTGTAAACACAAGTACTTTTTTAACAGTTTTATTTAAATTAAAAATACACAAAATACAAAATGAGAATTCATAATTTAAAAACTGAGCATTTTATATCCAAGTTTAAAAATAATAATGATTTTTAGAATGAAAATGGGCAACGTAATAATTATTTAAAACATATCTTGTTCAGTAGCCTCTTCTTCCACAGGCACAGGATCTCCAAATCGAGCGATTTTCGTTTTGGTTGTTTCAAGCTCCATTTGAACTTTTTTCCTGATATAAAATATCGGACAATCTCTACTTGTGCAAAGGATTTCTTCGTGTAATGAACCTTGACATCTTTGACACTCTAAAATTGAACAAAATAATAATGTTTTTAAACTTTATCGATTGTATTCTAACCAGTGAACAAGTCGGAAAATCTATCTTCTAACATACGATGATGAGACAGTTCCTGTTGATAAATTGTAGATTCCTTTGGTTTGCAATAGGCACACAAGGCCTCTGCTTCGTAGCCCTTTGGCAGAACCGATTTGCATCCTAAACAAGTTTCCTTTTTTTGTGTGAATGCGGAAAGAGCTCCCACTTTTGACGTGACCACTGTACGGGTTCTTGTATGTTCACCACCTTCGATAAATCAAAAATTGTTATTCTGGGAATATGTTATTTGACTTATACAGTGTGATTTTTTAAGTGTGCAACATATGGGGATTTTTTTTAGTAATAGCACAACCCAAATACAAACAAGGCCAAAAGTTGGTGCATGTCTGATAATCATATTAGGTGCACTTAGAATGGTTGCAAGTCAAACAGCATACAGGGTAGCTCAAACAATATCAAAGCTGTAATGTAAAGTACCCTTATTTTAGAAAATTCAGCAAAATGTTATAGAGAAAAGTTGTTTGAAATTAAAAGTTATGCCTAAATACCAAAACATAGCCTCCTAAGATTTTTTTTATTTTCTTTCGAAAAAAATCTATAATTTCTATATTTTTTTTATTTTTTATTTCCGCCCTTAATACTTTCAAAAATTAATTAAAATCAAATCAATTTTGCATAACTTTGTTCAAATTCAAGCATATTTGTAAAATTAATTTAGATTTTTAATTTTTTATGAAATCACAAAATTTATGTTTGTTGCAATGATATTCAACATAACTTTAAAATGTCGCAATTTTCTTTTTTAACAAGTTAAAACATTACTAATAGTCTAGCGGCCTGGCCTGTCTAGGAAGCACAAAAAAAAACTGGGGTATAACCAAATGGGACCTTCACCAATTGAAAAAGCATGTTTTTTCACGTAGAAAATGGAAATTGACGACACTCTCCATTGGTCGTGACCAAAGATATGAGCAAAAAACTGAAAAAAAAAAGGAATATATTTTTTTTAAAACTTTAAACACTCATAACTTTTTTTCTAGACCAGGTAGAACCAAAGTTTTTTTTTAGTTTTATTCCACATTCAGTTTCCTATCTTTTGGTGTATATTTTATTGAAAAATAGTTGTAACCCATATTTGGAAAACAGTAATATTTAAAAAAAGTCAACAAATTGTCAATATTTTTTAAGCTTTCTTATGCAAGGAGCTATTCGCATTATTTTTTATTCAAAAATTGCCCAATTTAATGGACTTTATCTCAATAAACATTTGGTCTATTTCTAGAAATAAAACGGGTAGCGGCGTTTAAATGACGGGACGCGTGCCTATGCGACACGCTTAAAGGCGGGTTTTTTCCATTGCGAACGACGCGACGCTTAGCTTGCCGCACCATTCCCTTTGAACCAATGGTATTATATACTTTGGTATGTGCTTTTGTAGTTGTGGATAGAACTTAATCAAAATAATTTCAAATCCAGCTCGTTTTCTTCGGATACTAAATCGGGAACCAAAGGACGGATAGGAGCATTTCATTTTACATTTGCAATCATCCATACAAAAAACGCCTTCTTTAATGCACAAACATTTTGAATTCATGCAATTTTTTTCATTGCAAAATATAGGTAGATAGTATGTTCCTAATCTCTTCTGGAACTACAGGTTGACGCATCATTTTTGGCAAGAGAGAACTGTTACTTTTTTCCCATTCAAACTTAAGTGGATGTAATTGTGAAACCATACCAATATGGCTATTAACCCAAATATGAACCTGGTAATACGACCTACAACAAAACGTTTTATAATATGTTAAAATTATAGTATTCCAGAAAAAAAAATCTGGTGGAAAACGTCTATAAAAATCGTTCAAATATGTAGTTAGTTATTCACTTAAGTACATGCAATTTAAAGCTGTCTTCTGTCGGTGGCAACTCTTGAGCAGGTTTTTTGGTCTTGAGTGTCATTTCTGTCTTTACACAGTTTAAGTTTTGAATGGATTGGGCTTTAAATTAGATAGCAAAAAAACTTTCTATTGTTTTCTTTAATGCAGTGGATAACACTGGCACCTTTAAATACTTTTATTAAAAATACAGTAGGAGTTTTTATAATGATTTTATGGAAAAATTACAATTAATTGACAGACTTGTTGACAACGTGTTGACAATTCTCTATATCATTTTTTTTTTACAAGCAAGGGTGACTAAATAAAATTTAAACAATAGAATATTATATTATCTAACTAGATTTACCGTTGCACAGGTTGACTAGTTACCTTTACGTAGGTATTCTTAACACTCCCCCTCAATGGTAAATCTCTAATCTATATAATATGTAAATAACGAGGTAAATAATAAAACTAATACAAATATATATTTTTTTTAAATGTTAGGCTATATCACACTTGATCCGAAAATTATTGAACAAAGTTTGGGAGAAAGGTTTTGTAAAAAAATCAGCAATTTGAAATTTTGTTGAAATGTATTTTAAAATGATTACTTTATCTTTAACTTTGTCACGGATGAAATGATATCTTATATCAATATGTTTCAGCCGTTTATGAAATTCCGGATTTTTGCAAACTCTGATTGCGGATTGATTATCTTCATAAATGACTACACTAAAGCATTCAAAGTTTTCAATTTTGAAATCAAAAATTAAATTTTTTAGCCAGCAGGCTTCGCTCACTGCAATACTGAGAGCAACATACTCAGCCTCGGTTGAAGACAGAGCGACAGTTGCCTGCTTACGTGAAGACCAACTGACAGTGCATCCAAAAACTTTAAAAATATAACCGGAGGTTGATTTTCTGTCTTCTCTGTCTCCAGCCCAGTCTGAATCTGCATAACCTACAACAATATCTTTAAAGTTATTCTTTCGAAACACCAGTGACATATTTATAGTACCTTGAACATATCTTAAAGTTCTTTTGATTGATTGCCATAATTGAATACTTGCCGTAGATTGATATCGACTCAAAATACTTATTGCGATGCACAGATCCGGTCTAGAACAAAGCATAGCATACATAAGTGAACCTATTGCTTTTCGACATTTGTTTTCTATATCTTTGTTTTCAGACTTATCACGCATTAATTCACTGTGATTGAAATTTAAGTCCATTGGCAAATTACTTGGTTTACAGTTCTGCAAATCAAAACGCTTTAGAACATTTTTAAGATATGTTGTTTGGTTTATGGTGATTTCGTTTTTAACTAAATTTTGACATATAAACATTCCCAAAAAATATCTAACTGACCCCAGATCCTTCATTTTAAAATTGTGGTTTAAAGCTTGTTTCAATTTTTGTATTTCATTATCATCAGACCCTGCTAATAGTAGATCATCTACATACAGCAAAATAAATGTTTTTGATGTCTCAGTTATTTTTATATAAATACAATATTCATTTTCTGACCTTATAAAATTTAGAGAGAACATCAAATCATTAAATTTTTTGTACCAATTTTTTTGGTGATGATTTCAAACCATATAAAGATTTTCTTAGCTTGACTATTTGACCTTCATTTTCATCAAAACCTTTCGGCAATGAAATAAAAACATCGTCATCAATATCGCCATTTAAAAAGGCGCTACAAACATCAAGTTGATATATCTTGAAAGCAAAATGATTACACATAGCTAAGAAAATCCTTACTGATACCAATTTAGCTACAGGACTATAAATATCATTATTGAACATACCAAGCTCCTGCATAAAACCTCTTGCTACTAATCTAACCTTGAATGTTGAAATTTGTCCATTTTCGTCCATTTTTCTTTTGAAAACCCATTTACAGTCTATCACTAGTCTATTTATGTTCTCTTTATTAACTGGAAACCATGTTTCATTATCTTCTAAAGCTTTTATTTCATTTTCCATAGCCTTTCTCCAGTTTTTAGATTCACTACTTGTCATTCCATCATCATAGCACACAGGATCACTATCATCAAAATCACTTCTCATCAGTAGCACTTTGTCTATATCCATTTCAAAATCATCATACATGGTGTTTCTTTTTCGGTCTCTTCTTAAATTATATCTTGAATTTACAATTTCTTCATTGACATCTGAATCAGCATCATCTTCCGGGAAGTCAACTACATCTTGATGTTCAGAATTCTCAATTTCCTCTGCTTCACTTACATTTTCGGATAAATTATCATTTCTTGGATCATTTTGTATTTCTTCGCTTTCAGAATCATCAGTTTTGTAACATATTTCTTGTGTATTCAAGTTATCATTTACTTTTTCTGTGTTTTTGATACTTTTAGGTATAAAAATAATATCTCTGTGTATTTCAATCTTATGTTTTTCAGGCATATATATTCTATATCCTTTCACATTCTCATCATATCCCATAAACATTCCCATTTTGTTTTTAGGATCCCATTTCAAACGAATTTCCTTGGGTACATGTACTGAAACTTTTATTCCAAATGGTTTAAAAACTTGTACTGAATTGATATTTTTTTTGTACCACAGTTCATAGGGAGATTTTTGTTTTTGTGGACTTGGTCCAGTACGATTTAAAGTATATTTTACATTGTTTAAAGCTTCAGCCCAAAAAATCTTACTTAATCTTTCTTCTGAATATAATAGAGTTCTGGCTGCTTCCACCAAAGTTCGATTTTCTCTTTCAGCTCTCCCGTTGTGCTGAGGTGTGTAAACTACAGTTCTTTGATGTTTTATTCCACTAGTTTCTAACATTTCTCGTACTTCATTATTTAAAAATTCTAGTCCATTATCTGTCCTCAGGACGTTTAATTTGCAACCAGTCTCTTTTTCAGCAAGTGATATGAAATTTCCAATGTTCTTTTTCACTTCAGATTTTGCCTTCATAAAGTAAACGTATCTGTAATTTGAATAATCATCTTTAAATACCAAAAAATACTTAGAACCTCCTAAAGATACGGTTTCCATTGGTCCACAAACGTCTGCATGTACCAATTCCAAGGGTGCAGTAGCTCTAGACTCACTAAGTTTATAAGGTGACCTATGCTGCTTTCCTGCTAAGCATTGTTCGCAAACAAAATCTTTTTCACAATCAACAAACTGAATGCTGTTTCTCTTGAGGAAATCCCTCACATAGCTGAGATTTTGATGAGCTAACTTACAGTGCCAATCTTTAATATTTTCTATAATTTTTACCTGCATGCATTCTACAATTGGATTGTCAAGGAGTTCATTATTCTCCGGGCAGCTCTTTTCTTCCTTCTTTTCACTTATCTTCAATTCCTGAATAGAAATATT